AGGCTTGATCACAGGTGCCTATGTCCTTTCCTGAACCCTGTGTGGTCAACCTGCAAGATGTCATTCAACGTCAGAGTGATTCGTTGGAGGATCAAGCGCTCAAACACGTTGAAACACACTGACAGCAAGGATATTGGGCAGTAAATCGCCACATTGTGGGGGTCCTTGCCTGGCTTGAGAATGGCAATAATCTTTGCTTGATGCCAAGTACGCAGTAGCTTCTTCTCATTAATGACCTGTATATTGAAATTAGTGAGCCACTCTGATGCCTTTGGTCCAGGGTGCTTAGTGAATTCTGGAGAGATGTTATCACACCCCGCTGCTGGGCCTGGTTTGATGGAGTTAAGGGCCTTATCTAGTTCATTGACCCAGAGTAGCTCTGGTTGACTCCTGCCCACATTCTCATGTTGAAGTTAACACCATTTGTCATATACTTTGCATTTAAATTACTTCTCTAGCGGAACCTTTGCTACCCACATTAGATGTCTTGCAACCTCACTGGGCTTAACCAGTGGGTGATTTTGGCCTGGAAGTCATTGAGCAGCCACCAGCCAGTGGATCAGGTTCCAGCACTTCCAGCTGGAATAAGTGAAGTCAAGCTTCACCACAGATTCCTTCTACTGAGTGAGCCTAGCAGTATCCAGACCCTCAATTAGATGGTCTGCAACGTCTGGGTCACCAGTTCATTCAAATTTCCTGAGCAAGGCTTGGTAATCGGCACTTGGCAGGGAGTATAAATTGGTCAACAGCCCCATGGTATAGCTGAACATGCAGCTTTGTAAATGGCTCCTTGGAATCGGCGGTAGGTTCATTGATTGGGATACAACGTGATGGAATGATAGCCACCCTACATTCCAGTGTGTTGCAGAACTTTTCTCAACCTGTTTTACGAAAATTCCACTGAGGCTTGATTGAACTTTGAATGATGGGTAGCTGGAGCCTGATGTGGATGAGTAATGGTCTATGTTGGCTGTGAGGGAAGCTATTGAGTACTTTATGATTTATTGGTTGTGGATGGCTATCTAGCAAACTGACCCAACAAAGAGCAGGTGAGTACTTTTGACCATCTGGCTAAGAGAAATGTGCCACATTGTTTTGCATCATGGAGATATCCTATCCTATCTCCTAGAACTGGAAGGGCCCCCGAAAGGTCATTGAGTCTAGCACCCTGCCTTCACTAGAAGGACCAAGTACTGATTTTGCTCCAGATCCCTAAGTGGCCCCCTCAAGGATTGAACTCATAACACTGGGTTTAGCAGGCCAATGCTCAAATTGCTGAGCTATCCCTCCCTCCTCATGAATTAACACAAAGTCGTTGTTAACCACCGAGTCCATCAAACCCTTACTTTTACATCCGAATCAGTGTATCCCCACTCAGAGTGATAATGGTTGAAATCTCCAGTGAAGTTTGCTGGACGATGTTCTTAGCATATGTGCAACGTGTCTTGAGTGGTACGTGGCCAGGATTCATCACGGAATTTGGTCTGCTGGTTGGATCATTATCAAGCGTTGGGAAGCCCTACTGGGCCCAGTGCACAGTTGGCAGTTTATATATGTTGACAATCCTAATCCCATGGGTTAATCCCGAATTATAATATTGGAATAGTGTAGTACCACAAAGAAAAATGTTTTACTATTAATATTTTTACTATTCACCCCTTTGTGCGCAAAACTATTGCTGTTGCAACAAAAACTCCCCAAAAGTATGAAAAATCATAATCTAGTGATGTGACACAAAACATCAATCTAGCAAACAAACAAATAATTCCAACATACCAACAAACCATACCACCAGTGGATTAAATGTTTAGAGCAGGTCCAGGAAACCTAAGGGTTGAAATCATTACTTTTCTTGGGTATACCCCTTGGTTTGCCTATAAAAGAAGTTTAATGATTTAGTTAGGAGCCAAAGGCATTTCACTTGAGTCTTTAGACCCTAGATTAAAACACAAGTGGGTAAGAGAAAAATATTAACACGTGCTTTATTTATCTGGAAATATAATGGGAAAATTACAAGAGATAAATTGAACATTTTACAGTAAAAGCTTTTTTTTATCCAGCATGTTGGGGGAAAGGGAGATGCTGGTAAGTGAAAAATGCTGGTTAACTAAGAGGGAGGGAGTTTGGGTGCAGGAAAGGGCATGGAGCTGGTGGTTGGGGTGCAAGGCGTGGGCTCTGGGAGGGAGTTTGGGTGCAGAAGAGGGCTCGGGGCTAGGAGTTGGGGCGCGGGAGGGGGTGTGGGCTCTGGGAGGGAGTGTGGGTGTGGGAGGAGTTCAGGGCAGGGTGTTGGGGCACAGGAGGGGCTGCGGGGTGCCGGATCTGCGGGGCACTCATCTTGGGTGGCTCTCCGCAAGAGGCTACCTGTCCTTGCTGCTCCTAGGCAGAAGCGGGTCAGATGGCTCTGCGTGCTGCCCCCACCCCACCCTGCCCCGCCCCAAGCACTGGCTCCACAGCTCCAATTGGCCGGGAACTGCGGGCAGAGGCAGCGCTCAGAGCCTAGGAGTAACCGGGACAGGTCACCACTTGCGGGGAGGCACCTGAGGTGAGCGCCCCCCCAGATCTGGCGCCCTAAAACTACCCCCACGCCCCAACTCCCTCCCAGAGCCCGCACCCCCTCCCATGCCCCAAACCCCAGCCCGGCACCTTCTCCCGCAGTCCGAACCCCTCATGGCCGTTCCTCTACTTAGCAGCAGCAGGGACACTTCGCTGCTTCTAGGGAGCGATGCAAAGCCAGGTAGGGAGCCTGTCGGCCCCGCGCCAACCGGACTATAAAATGGACTTTCCATGAAGATTAGAAATGCTGGTTTATAGAGCTTTCTGGCTGGTACAGGGCCAGATAACACAGCTTTTCCTGTATTTTGATGAATTAAAACCTATAACAATAACTATGATACATGTTGTGGGTAGCAAAGGCTGCTACATTTTGCTTGTTAGAGGCTTCGATATTTTTTGTGTAAAGAAGAAATATGATTCGTTGCTGGCTTCCTTTACTATGTGGGGTACGTCTAGAATCACAACTAACTTGATATCTATTTTTGGAATAATAATGCACAGCAACTGATTTAAACCCAATAAGTTTTGTGGCTGCAATTTGACTAATACAAATATGCAAGTAGCAAAACAATATAAATACTTAATGCTTGAATTTTACCCAAGGGTTTTACCCTTGCTTCTTTTCCTACTGCTTCCCACACCATTTACAGGTTAGAGGGATAGTAAACAGGGTTTGCTTTACCTTGTACATGTACATTAGACATAGCCTTGTCTAAAACGATGCTGAACCTTGTAATTAGATGCTTTATGGGTCCCTAATTTGAATATCATTCTGCCAGATTCCTGTTAGAAGCAATTTGCTTTGCCTATTTCTCCTTGTCCTCCTAGACAGAAAATGTCCAAAAGCACTTCCTCTCCATTTTTTACAGCAACGTGTTAGCTACTGGTCAAAGCCTCAGTGACTTCTTGTTTCCAGTTGTCTTAGAAATTACAAATTAAAGGCACAGAGATTTACAGGGTTACAGGAGATGGGCTAAATGCATAGTTACAGGGTCTCTAAGACCTACGGCGGGGGGAGGGCTGAGCTTTCGTTACTTTCTGGTGAGTGGGGGTTTTTCTCCCTTGTTCCTTTGATACTTTTTATTCAACCATTCCTTTATATTATTATTTAATTTAGTCCTCTGGATTTTAACACGCTGCTTTGGTGGAAGTTGGACTTCTATTTAGAGCTGTGCTTAGACAGTCTCGTTTCTCATTTCTCCCTCCAGACAAGCATTAGTTGTCTGTGATATGTGCAAGTACAGCTTTTTTTGTACTTTCCCCGACTATTACATTAAACATATGATCATACGATCAAACCCCACAGATTCGGGTGGTTAAAAATAGCCTGGCTATGTTACCTTCATACAAAACCTCCTCCGTGATCTTTAATATATTTTTATGCTGTGTTGTGGTCGACCACAGCTGGGTTCCCAGAAATCTTGACTAACTCTACACCACTCACCTCAACTTCTACACCAAATAAGTTCAATTACATTTTACTAACTAGCTTCATTCAAAATCTACACAGTAAGCACTTAATACTATCTTTATATAGCGTCATCCCTCCTTAAATAATTAACCCCTTAACCAGTTTCAACAATTACTTAAACAAGTCCCAAGAAAAAGCAGAGGGAAGGGGCATCCCCCTCCCTCTCTCTTCCATTGATGGCTAATGTGTTCTTAGCAGATTGAGAGGTGATTACCTAGTTGGGACCTACCGAGCAGCAAGGAACAAGCTGGTGGTAGATGGATCAGGGTGCAGACTGGGAGAGCGGAGGGGACTGAAGTACCATGGCCTTTTTGATGGCACAAAACATAAATCAACTCTCCCTCCACCTCAAAGCATGAGTCACCAGGCCCTGATGCAACTGCAATTGCAACTTCAGGTAGCTCAATATTACGACACAATTCAACTTACAAAGCCCCTTAATGTGTGTATAAAGATTCTAAACCCCAAAGACTAGTCGATAATACGTAGCAAGGATACCCTTAGAGTGCAGTGAGGAATCCTTATACAGTTAAAATTTCCATGGAAACCTAATGGTGGGAGACACATGGTCACCCACAAGGCATGCCAAGTGAGTCTGATAGTCAAGACCTCGAGCGTTCCTTTGCTTGATCTGTGTGTGTGTGTGTATCCGTGAGCTTGAGTCTCTGTCTACTATTCCTCCCAGGAGGGCATATCTCTCCCTCTGTTGTGAAGTTAAGCAGAGAAGAAAGTAGAAGGAATATACTAGAGGCAAAGAAATAGAAAAGAGAAACAACAGCTGAGGGAAAATAGGAAGTCCCTGGCAAGCTGCAGTGTTTCTGACAGAGAGATTAGCTGGATTTCAATTTAGAATTTTTACTAAAGGTGAGTTACTGATCCTAGGTAGGGAGGTTGCCCCTGTGCATCCCTTGGGGTCCCTGTTTGGGCAGCAAATCGGTAGCCTGATCTATGGATTATGTATTAATTATATTACTCAGCTGTGATGGCTGAGTGGTTAAGGTGTTGGACTTGAAATCCAATGGGGTGTCCCTGTGTAGGTTCAGATCCTGCTCACGGCGGTTGGCTGCTTTATTTTCTTTGGGGGGAGGGATAGCTCAGTGGTTTGAGCATTGGCCTGCTAAACCCAGGGTTGTGAGTTCAATCCTTGAGGGGGCCACTTGGGGATCTGGGGCAAAATCAGTACTTGGTCCTGCTAGTGAAGGCAGGGGGCTGGACTCGATGACCTTTCAAGGTCCCTTCCAGTTCTAGGAGATGGGATATCTCCATTAATTTAATTTAATATTGATTATTTAAGACTTCCCAGTTATCACTTTGAGGGTTGGACAGGTTCTTGTCCCAAGATCAGGCCCAGTATTATTCAAATGATTATATCGCTGGGAACCCCGCTGTGCACACTGCAGGGACTCTTCTATGTTTACAAATAGTTTATTAGCCCATTTAGCACAGTCACAAACACTCCAGCTCAGTAAGCTAGATAGAGATACTACAGGATGCACCTCTGCCCATCCATACTCACACCGTCCCTTTCAGGACAAGCTGAAATGTTAGCCACTATCTTCCTTATCACCATCACCTTCCCCCTCATCACCTGTGCCTATCATTCTGGCACCTACCCAGTACTACAACTCTTTCTCCTACTGTCCATAGTCTGGGATGTCACTTTTATAACATGTTATGTTGATGCCGATATGTCTGATGCATGTTCAGTAGGGGTTTCTCCCCTCTTCCTTATTTGTATTTCCTCACCTTACTCATGTTGGAGTCATCACCACTGAGAGTCAGACTCTGGAGACAGTTGAGCACTTTTAACACCTCAGTAGCCAACTTTCTCAAAAGGCAAAAATTGACAGTGAGATCCAGGACAGGATCCAGTGTGCAAGTGCTTCCTTTGGGAAATTGCTTGAATGCATTTTCATGGACCGTGACCTATGGCAGGACACCAAGATCCAGGTCTATAAGACAATTGTTGCTCCTACACATCTCTATGGATGTGACACCTGGGTGACTGTAACGGGGTTGGGACTCACCACCTGGAGCCTCCTGCTGGTTACCTCCGGGAATTAGCTCAGTCCAGTGGAGCGCCCTCTCTCGGTGGTGTCCCACCCATTGTCTCGCCCTTGGTTGGCGTCTGAGCCCACGTTGCTCCCAACTCGCGGCGTCTTCTTCGAGCCACTGCCCTCCGGCAGTGCCCTTAGTCCATCCACACCCCCTTCCGGGGGGTGGGGGAGGTTGATCAGCAGTCTCTCTATGCCCTAGCCACCATGTCTAACTACACACCCCAAAGTCTAATCCCTCTTGTCAGGGATATGGCATAGTCTATGATGGCCGCTCCCTACGGAGGATGGCTGGGTGTACTGCAAGGGGGGAAGGAGGGGACCCAGGCCCACCCTCTACTCTGGGTCCCAGCCCAGGGACCCTCTGGCAGCAGCCTCGCTGTCCTCCTTCTCTCCCCTCGTCTGTCCGCTTCCCTGGGCCGCTTCCCCTATGGCCCCTTGCATCTGCTAGGCCCTTCCCTTCAGGGCCTGCAGCCTGGCAGGCCTCGGGCTAGAGCTCCTTTCTGCTCCCCGAGCCTGGCCAGCACTGCGCTGTCTGCGGTGCTAGTCTTCCTGCTCTGGAGACTGACCTTCCCCTGTCGAAGGCCTGGGACAGACTGACTCTCCTCTCCCTGAGCAGCCTTTTTATAGGGCTGAGCCGGGCCCTGATTGGCTGCCTCCAATCTGGGCCCCGATTGGCTCCCACTAAGCCCTTCTCTGATTGGCTGCCCGTCTGCGCAGGCGCACTGGCCTGCTGCAGCCCACACTCTCATGGGGTGGGGCAGTCCGCCCCACTACAGTGACCTATCGACAGCACCTCAAGAGTTTGGAGAGGTATCACCAACGATGCCCCCGGAAGATCCTTTGCATCAAGTGGCAAGATTGCCGCACTGACACCAGCATCCTTGCTGAAGCCAATGTCACCAGCATTGAAGCAATGATCTTCCTGCACCAACTTCGCTGGGCCGGACATTATGCGGAGACGCCAAACCCTTGCCTCCCAAAACAAGCCCTCTACTCTCAGCTCACCCATGGTCAGAGATCCTGTGGTGGTCAGAGGAAACGCTGCAAAGACTCACTGAAACCTATCTTAAGAAAACTGATGTGGACATCACCAGCTGGGAGCAGAAAGCCACCGACTGACGTGAATGGCGCCATATCCTCCATCAGGCAGTGGCCCGCTTTGAGGAGAAGTGCCTTGCCCTCAAAGCTGAAAAGAGAAAGAGGAGGAAGAAAAAAGAAAGAACTTTCTCCCGGCAGGCCGCTGGCCCACCAGGAAATGTCTGTACCTACTGCGTGTGGATTTGCAGTTCCAGGATCAGACTCCTGAGTCATCTCAGGACCCATATGTAAATCCGTGGTAGAAATCACCCTCGAATCGAGGGGTCACCAATGAATACATGAATGTTGGAGTGCCCTTCTCTTATAGGTTAGTATATCAATGATCTCAACTTTTTATCATATATGTCAATTCATTGCCGTGGCCTTCTTGTGGTTAGATATCTGTGGATGTAACTCATGTACCGGTTATTGTTTTGTACATCAATTCGTCACCATGGCACGCTTGTGGTTGGACACATGTTCCTGTGGTCAGAATTTCCCCTTAAACACTCTATTTTCAGCTCCCCAATACTTGGGGTTTTCCGTTAGGCCATTTATCCATGCCAAATCATTTAGCCTTATGCTAAAACTGCTGAAGCTAATGTCTTACAGGATACAGGCCTGTAGGGTCCATGCATTACTGCTGAACATAATAAAGGCAAGCTAGCCCTATGGGCTACAATGCCCAGGTCTTTTTCCTGAGTTGATACAGATAATTCAGACCCCAGAAATGTACATGAATAGTGCAAACTATTCCTTTCAATGTGCATTACCTTGTCAACACGGGATTCCATCTGCCATCATGTTACCCAGTCACCTGGCTATTTAAGGCCCTTCTGATATTCTTTGCTGTCTTCTCTGGTCTTGATTACACTAAATACTTTAATGCCATCTCTAAAATTTGCTATGTCACTGCTAACTCCCTCTTCCACAGAGTTTATAAATATATTACACAATGCCAGTCTGACTATGGAACTTTGTAGCGTCCCGCTGCCATAATGAAAAGTCAAACTGTTGATTCTTTGACTCTTTGTTTTCTCTTAGCCAGTTTCTGATCCAATCTTTTGCCTCTCACCTACATCTGAACTTTGTCTTCTCAAAATCCTCTTGTGAGAGATTGTGTCAAAGGTTTTTGGAGAGCCTCAATAAATCATGTTGAGTTTTTCTCCTTCTCACCCCGCAGTCACTGGGTCAAAACCAGCCCAGGCTGGTTGTGAAAAGAAATTGACACATTTACTTCATAGTTTCATAGAGTTTAAAGCCAGAAGGGACCATCTGATCATCTACTCTGACTGCCTGACTAATAAAGACCACTAGTTTTCACCCAGATAACCCTATATTGAGCCTAACAACTTTAATTAGACACAAGCATTTCTGTCTTCGGGAGACTAAACTGTGTGCCACAGGCAGAGAACAGGAGAGACCAAGCTTCCAGCAATGCCCAAAGCCCCTGAAATGGCAGGGAATTGATTAAGTGAGATATGCCCAGATGATCCTAGCCCCATGCTGTAGAGCAAGGTGAATTCCCCCTCCCCCCCATGCTCCCTGACAATCTGATTGGGGTGAAAATTCCTTCCTGACCCCAAATTTGATCCTGAGCAAGTGAATAAGACTTACCTGCCAGGCATCTAGAGAGAAGATTCTCTGTGCCGCCTCAGGGCACTGGTCCACCCCATCGGGTGTCCCATCTCCTGCAGTGGCCAATCTCGATGATTCAAAGGAAGGCAAAAAAATAACCTCAGAATGTATCTAGTCAATTGTGCCTCAGGGAAAAAAATCCTTCCTGACCCCTACAGATGACTGGCTGAGGTATGAGATTTGATTATACTTGTTCTATGGAGGCAATATTCACCCCTCTGCAAAGGGCCAATGTAACCTGCTGGTGAGTGTGTATTACTGCCCACCTCTGTGTCCAATCCATAGAGGATAGGTGTGGGTTATATTCCTACTTGGCTTGGCTTGTTAACTCAAGGTACAATAGCTTATTTCTTTAGCTCTGAAGGTCCCTGGTTCAATCCCTAGTATGGCAAAAGGCTTCTGTTCTTCTTAAGACCTCAGAGTATGGTTCAAGTGGACCTAGATAGGGCTCTCAGTCGAAGGAGCCCTCAACTCACAAAGAGTCATCCCCAAGCATCCTTGCTATAGGTCACTGCAAAGGGAACGAGAACTGCTGGCATGCCCAGAATGACTCCAAAAAGTAAATGCAGAGGTGGTGCAAACTTGTTTGCAAAGTCCTTGATGAAGACAACAGAAGGACAGCGCTTTCACTGTGCAAAGGGGAGATGCTTGTTCAGAATTTCCATTTCTTCTAATAATCAATTTATGTAAATTTAAATACATTACATATGCATGTCTAATTTGGCTGCTCATAATGATGACAATTGCAATTAAGCTACCCGTTCTCTTGGCAGCAGCAACGGGGGCAGAACGCAAAAAAATGTGTTTCCGGTGACCTTACTAAAAACTTACCAGTGAACTGTAAAGATTGCTCTTTTGAAAATCTGATTTTGCTAGCCTTTTAATAAACACACACACCATTAGCACGTTTATGTTTCAGCCCTTAGGAGTCAAACGTCCAGGGACAAATGCACAAGGAGAGATACTGACTGTGAAAGCAAAATGTCTTCCTTTGTATTAAGTACAATGGCTCCAGAAGGCTGAGTGCTCCATAGTCATTTATAGCAAACCCACTCATTTAAGGTGGAACTACAGGAAAGGAAGGTCTTTTTTTGTCAGGAACTCAGTGGTGATCAGTAGACTTCATCCTATAAGGGTGAGGGAATTTTAAAGCTTCAGGGTGAAGAAATTAAAGGGGCCAAATTCCACATACATTTATGCTATTGTGAATCTTGAGTGACTGGGGTTATGTTGGTTTAACAAAGAGCAGCATTAGTCTCCGTACTTCACCTGGCTCTTCCCTCAAC